ATAGATCTGTCTATTGGGTCGCCAGAGCTCCCGTGCGTGTCTGCTGAAGCGTCTCAGGGTTGAGTGTGGTTTTGTTTAAAGAAAGCAACTAAAATAAACTTGGCGAGGGGCTCCCAGGAGGTCACTGTACTTCTTCCCTCCCTGTTCCCAACCCCCAAACCCAGCACAGATCCCCTCTTCCTGCAGGACTTTTGGCAAGTTAGCATTTTTTTTTCTTGCTGTTGTTGACAAAAATCCCGGCTGGTTGAGAAATACCAGTGTGGCAGCTCCAGCCCAGTCCCACGGGTCAAATCCTGCCCCTGCAAAACTCTGCCGGCAAGGGCAGCTCGTCCTGACTGGCCTTCAGGAATGCTGCAAGGAGGGGGGGGGTTGTCCATCACCTTACAGGGCACCCCAGGCATGAGGCCATGAGCAAGCACCTGTGATGGATGGATGGATAGGTGGACACTGGGGGTGGACCTGTGGATGATTTGCTGGTTGGGCTCTGCAGCAGAAGCAAAATGCTGGAAGTTTGTCAAGGGCTGAATTAAAGTTGCCTGGCAACCTCCATCCTGGTGCCTCTTCCTACATCTCGCAGGATTTCCCACCCAAGGTCTTCTGGCTCCAGGGAAAGGGGGGCCCAAAACAGGCCACGCTTGCAGCCAGGCACAGGCTGAGCTTGCCTCTTCAGAATGGCTGTTTCTTTCCTTCCCTGGCTTGTTCCCACGCCTGGGAGCCGGGAGCTCTCCCCACTAGGACCGCCGGGGCAGGCTCCTTTTCCCCCCCATGCTGGGAACGGGTCGGGCTGTTTTGGCTGAACCCAGGGGCAACCCCTGTGGGTCCCCAGGGGGTAAAACATCGCTGGGCTGGTGGGAACGTGGCTTGGGAAGTGAGCAGCGAGGGAGACAAGGAGGGGGTCACATGCTGGGCTTGGCCCCAATGAGTAAAGCTGAATAGCCCACAGGGGCTTGGAGTGCCTGGGCTGGGCCACTGTAAGAAATCAAGGTGTAAATGGTGTCTCCTGGTGCAGTCCCTGCTGGGACTTTTTTTAAGGCTATTTTGCAACCCTGTAACCTGGAGGAGACCTGCTGGGAATCCTGGCTGCCACTGGCAATCCTGGCTCCCACTGGGAAGTCAGCAGCACTCCTTGTAGGAAAGCTCAGTGCCCAGGAGGAAGGAAGAAGGGTGCATTAGCCTTTCTGGGAGCCTGCTTGGGCTTTACTAGAGCTCAGTGAAGCAATCACAAGCTGTCCATGGAGTGACAGGATGGGGAAGCATCTGATCACACTCTGAAAATCTGTCCCACCATCCAGGATAGATTCTGGAGGTGAGCCAAAGAAGGGCTACTCCCACCCAGTGTTTCCATTCTTTCTTCTGGGTTCCTTTTAAATTACAAAGCTGGCATAATTTTTCAGCTGTGTTGCTGAAGAAGCAGCTATGTGGGGGGCCCATAAGCCCCCAGCTGAGTTCCCTCCATATTTGCTAGCCCCACTGGCAGCACAGATTCCCTGCACCACAGCTCATGGCTGGCTCTTGCCCCCAGGTTTTGCTGCCTTGTAGCTTTGAGGACCTTGAAGCAGGGAGAAGGAAGGACCATGGCCAGCAAAAGCTCTGAGTGCCACTGCCATTGAGGGGTGCGGCAGCATTGCCTGGTTTCTTTGGCTGGATCCAGGTTGGCGAGACCTGCCGCTGGGAAATTCAGTCATCAAAAGCTTTTTGCACCTCCAGAGACGCTGGTCCAAGGGATTTTAAGGAGTTGCCGACCGGGCCAGCTCGTTTGGGTGTGCTGTGCTGGCTGGCTGACGGTGGGAGGCTGAGGCCAGCACAGTCATGCTCGCACAGCTTCCTCTGTGACCCAGTAAACCCAGTCAGACCTGACAGGGGCTTGCTCGCTGCCCTGCGCGCTCACGCACGCCTGCACGCCTCCGCCAGCCTGCTGCTGGCCTGGCCTTCCCCAGGGACCAGCAAACCCATCCTGCTGGCAGGAGCTGGTGCCAGGGTTGGGCTTGCTCCTGGCATCCTGCAGGAGCACAGGCAGCTGGTGGCAGGAGGGTGGGCTTGGCCCCAGTGGATGCTGCGTGTTGTGGACTGGCTGGTTCCTGCCTTCCCCCACTCTCGGGGCAGCCATCAGCCCTGTAGCAGGATCCTGCCCCCGCCACCCTCCTCCAGCTGGGGCAGGAGCTGGGGCAATATTTTGGGCCCTATGTCAAGCTCCCCCATGCTGGGAAGTAGGTGAGGTGCTGAGGGGCTTGGGAGCTCACTCCTGGGGATGGGATGGTCTCTTTTGGCCAGTTTTTCTCTCAAACCCCAGATTTCATTGGAGCTGCTGCTTTTCAGCTTCTTCCTCTCCCCCCTTTTGTGTCCCTCCTCTGGAGAAAGCTCTGTCATTCCTCTTCCTGGCCTTTCCCTGTTTCCCATGGAAGTCCTGGGCTTGAGCAACCCAACTGCCCCAAGCCCAACTCGCAGATCCTGCTGTCTGAGGCAGTGCATCCCACCCTGGCCCTCACCGTCACACAGAGCTTTGAGCTTGCACCCTGCCAAAGGGAAAATGATGGGTCTGTGGGGGGTTGGTGTGGCTGCAGCCAGGGCTGACGATCTGAGCCGACCCAAGGGTGGTTTCAGTTCCTTCTTGCTCTTTCTCCCCCACCCTAGGTATGAAAAATAAAAAATAAAATAAATAGAGAAGCTCGGAGCAGCCCTTCCCTTCAGGTAAAATATTAACTGGCTCTTACAGCGAACTGATTAAGTGTTCTTTAGGACAAAGTTACATCTGATCTCAGGCAAAGGAGCTTTTGGAAGTGGGTGTAACTACTTCCCTGGGAAAAGCAGAGAAACCCAGGAGGCTGTTCCCCCCTGCCTCTGCCCAGCTGGGAGCCCTGCACAGCCCCACAGCTTAATGTATTCTTTTTATTTCCCCCCCGCCCTGTGCTGGCTGGGTGTTCATGCTGGTTAAATGTTAGCAGAGTCTGACTCCCAGTACTGTGCTCGCCCTGCGATAAACAGCCTCCCTGCCTCCCTGCCCGACTGTGCTCCCAGCTCAAATCCCCGTCACACTTGGAACTGGGCAGCAGGCAAAGTTCAGGGATTGTTTGTTCGGGGGAGATAAGGTGAGGACGCCTGGCAGCATGCAGGCAGCTTGCAGGGCTGTTATTCATTTATTAGAGATGGTTGTTTGCCTTGTCATAAGAAGTTTTCTCTTCCCCTCTGCTTTCTCAGCCCAGGTGCAGGGCAGCTCTCATGGTTTGTGTGTGATTCTGGGCTCATCTCCCTGTGTAGAGACCTGGGGAAAGTTCCCCACAGCTACCAGGGCTACTGGAGGGATGGAGAGCTGTGAGCAGGGGGCTGCTTTGGTGCTCTAGTTGTGACCCCACGACTTGCTTTGCCCAAATCCTTGGTGGGTTTGGCTTGTGCCAGGCACAGTGCTACCACAGCAACTTGTTTCTGGTTGACCTCCATCCCCACTCACCTGCCTTGCCTCACCCTGCCAACCCCATTGCTCACCATGGAGTTCCTTGGAAGGAGGTTGCTCTGGATCAATATTCTCTGCTCCCCAGGGAGCTTAGCTCTACGGGCAGCACCCTGCCTGCTCCCAGGGTTGGGTGCTGTGTGGGTGCTCTCTGCTGGGCTGGTGCCTGAGGAGGCATCTAGGCAGGAGAGAATGAGGGGGACTTTTTCCTTTTGTTCCATTCCTGGGATGCTGCAGGGCAGTGGCCAGTATGAGGTCTGGGTCTGAACCCCCCCCGAAAGGAAAGAGAAGTTCAGTGCAGGCTCCAGACTATGGCTGGATCCCACATCCAGCCCCCTGCTTCTCATTTTCAGCCTCAAAGCCCTTTTTGCTGTCATTTCCCTTTGGTTTTGCTTCCACTTCACCTGAGACCCAGGCAAAGTATTTGCTTCAGAGAAACCATCTACAGCAAGCGTGTTCCAACAGCTTCTCTACAGGGCCAGGTATTTGGTTTATATATATATAACACCCCCTGCCCCCAAGCAAACATATAGGTGCTGGTTGCTCACAGGGAGCTCTCTAGCTCGGAGATCCCCAGTTGTGTCCTTCCTTAGTGCCTGCAAAATGAACAATGCAGTTGAGAGGTATGGGGGGTTATTTGGGAGGGATCAGATGCATGAAACCGAGAGCTGAGATAGATCCTGAGCTTCAAGGAAGCTTGGGATGAAAGAGAAACTGAAATCTTGTGGAAAAACACTGGGGGGAAGTTGAAAAGGCTTGATGAAGTGGCTTCTGTATGGGTTTTCCTTCACCCTGCATTGCTGTGTGCGTGGAGCATGCTTCCCCACACCTCTGTCCTCGGGAGCCTTGTAATTGCAGGAGAGGCAAAGCTTTGGGAACAAGTATCTTGTGCAGCAGGAGGTGTCTAACTGTGCCTTTGGAGAGGAGCAGAGCCCTTTGGTTCCCCAGATCCCCTCCAGCACCCATCCTGCTGCAGCTGCTCCAGGGAGTGGGGTTTGGGGTACCCCAGTGTGCCAGGAGACCAGCTCTGTGCTTTTGGGGGATCAGCTGGCTCTGCCAAAGCCTGTCCTTTGGTCAGGGGAAGCTGCAGAAGAAGATATCTGGAAAATGAGGAAAATGACCTGTGAGCAATGGAACCAAGTGCTCAGCCAGCAACTGCAGCTGCTGTGACAGAGGGGACACTGAGTTGGGGGATGCTATGGGTGATTGCTCCACTTGGATTCTGCACCCTGCCCTGTGCTGCCCACAGGCTCAACGCCTTGCACCCTGCTTCAGTTTCCACTTTGGCAAATGAGGGTTTGCTTTTCCCTGAAGCTGTCCCGGGACTGAGGCCGTGCCCAGTCAAGCATCCATGCATGTGTGGCCAGCTCCTTCCCAAGCCTGCTTGCTCATGAAGTGCCAGGGACAATGGGAACATCTGACGTGGTGCTCTGTGTTTCAGGAGGGCTTGGCAGCTGACTCTGTCCTGGAGAGCTGGGGAGCTGGTCCCGAGGATCGGCTGTGCCGGCCGGGCAGCAGCGGGCAGGGTGGCTGCCCTCGCTGGGGCAGCGGGAAGATGAGCAGGGGCACGGCCCATTTCCTGACGGCTCTGTTCATGGCGGCGGCAGGGGCGGTGGGCTACCCGTCCCGGAGGTCTGCCACCGACCTGGATGCCACCCCCAGGACAACGGTCACCTTTGACGGTAAGAGGGTGCGGGTCTTGGTGGGTGAAGTTTGGGAACTCGCTGGCACTGGGTTTGGTGCATCGTGGCTGTGTCGTGACTGCATCCTGCCTTCACCAGCCCCCTGGAGTGGGGATTTCAGCATGGGGGGATGGCTGTGGCAGGGCCTCTGGTCCCCTGGGCTCCAGAAATCAGAGCTGCCTGACATTGGGTGCCCCACATTGATCTGTCCTGAGGGATGAAGCAGGGAAAAGGCATCTCCCCAGAAGCCAAGGGGGAGGCAAAGAACCAGCCTTGGCCAGCCTCTGGCCCTGCCCAGGAGCCCTTGGAGGGTGTTCTGAGTTGGGCATCGCACCTGGGCTGGACTCCCATAGGCCAAATAGTCACCAGGGAGCTTTTATCCATTATTTTCTCTAATTGCCACTGGGCTCTTGGCCTCTGTGGTGTCAGCCAGCCCTGCAGTGTCATCATGCCTTGTGCATTTGTGTGACTTTGTTGACCTCATTAGTGAGTCTCAGCTCAGTGGTCAATGATAGGAGAGGGTTTAATTTGCAGCTGGGGTGCCAATTTTTCCCCAGGCGATGCCTCCTTTCAGGGGGCTCATTCCATCTCCAGCTGCCTTCAGGGTCCCATGGGACTTTCTCCTCCTGCAGTGGGAGGGCCCAAGCTTGACATGTGGTCCCTCTGGCCAGGGCTGAGTCCCACCTCACAATTCTCAACAGCCCAAATTGAATGGTTTCTTCAGCTCAGTGGGCAGGGAGTGCCCAGCCTTGCTGAAGAAGCTCTTTCCTTGCACAGTAGTTTTGGTTCAGGTTTTTTCCATCCTTACTTTTGGTCTGGCTGGGTTCATTTTGGAGCTGGGGTCACTGCTGGTGTGTTTTCACTTCCTCCAGCAGTTCCCCAAACAGTGTAGCAGGTCCATGCTGGGCATAGATGTCACAGCTCCCACTCCTGGGCTGCCCTGTGAACCTGAGCCCAGTTACTGCCTTTTCCTTCCTACCAAACCGCCCCTCTTCCCTTCTTCCATTCCTCCTGCCAAAACCACTGGCACCCAGCACCATCTGCCAGATCACCTTGGTGGGTGCCTTCCTACCTGCTGCTGGCTGCATCCTCTGCCTTCCCTGGTGGCTCAGGCCATGCCTGCCCTTGGGTGCCCCCTCAACCCCCTGTTCCCTTTGCAGAGCTGTTGGGTGTCCGGCACTTCAGCACACGCACCCTCAACTACAGCACCCTGCTGCTGGAGGACGGCCGGGGCATCCTCTACGTGGGCGCCAGGGGAGCCATCTTCGCCCTCAACTCCAGCGATGTGGGCGACGGGTCCCACCGCACGGTGAGCCCAGCCTCTGCCTGCCAATGGCTGGTTGTCCTCTCCTGTCCCACCCTGCCTGGTCCCTGGCCAAACTGTGGCCACTCTATCCCTGCTCATCCTCCTGCTCCTCACCATCTCAAGTCTTGCTTGGAGGTGCTGTCACCAGGTCTCTTCCCTGGTCTGTCCCCAGGTCCCTTGTGGATGTCTGGTCCCCAGCCAGGCAGTGTGGGGACAGAGGTGGGAGACACCTCCAGGCTCAGAGCTGGCCTGCTCCAGGGACACCCCAGCAGGACAAGTAGCAGGGCGGAAGGACAACCCTTTGCTCCCCTCCCCAAAGTCCTCCAGGCTCCTATGGGTGCTGTGGGGTTTCTGCCTACATGTTAGGGTGTGGGACTGCTCTTGCTCTGGGCTGGGGGAGATGTGGGCAGGGTCCCATCTTGTGCTCTGAGCATCCTTTCCCTCTCTTAGTAAGAGAGGATTTCAGCATCTCTGACGGCTCTGGCAGAGGCTGGATGCAGTGACAGGGGACTGGGGGGGTCAGACAGTGACAGTCACTCTTCCCGTTTCAGATCCCCTGGGAAGCCTCCCCAGAGAAGCAGATGGACTGCCTGCAGAAGGGCAAAAACAACAAGGTAGAGGGGGTGGGTGGGTGCCAGGTGCCGGGGTGGGCTGCCGCCGCTGTTCCCGAGCGCTGACGCCCGTCCTCCCCCTCTGCAGACCGAGTGCTTCAACCACGTGCGGTTCCTGCAGAGGCTGAACAGCACCCACCTCTATGCCTGCGGCACCTACGCCTTCCACCCACTCTGCACCGCCATTGTGAGTACCCCAGGCTGTCACCTGTCCCCTGCCTCCGCGTCACCCTGGGGTGGCACAGCCCCTGTCTTCTCCCACCATCTCCACCCACAGCCTCACTCCCTTTCCGCTCCTGCCCCAGCCCCTCCTTGGGTTGGGAGGGAGGTGAATGACCCTTAGACTGGGGAGGGTTGGTGTGGGGACGTAACCTCTGTGACACAGACACCCAAAGTCCCCACCCCACCCCTGGGCTTGGACTCTGACCCCAGGGCAGGATGGCTGGGGGTGGGTCACTGCTGTGGCAGGGACGTGGGCTCATCAGAGCCCACAGGACAGGATGTTCCAGTGCTGGAGGTGGTCCCCAGCCCCTGCTATTGCAAGGTCCCTTCCCAAAGCAGGACTTTTAGTCTGGCTGGTGGCTGCTGGCAAGAGTGCCCAGGGAGGGCGATGGTGGCAGGGCTGACTCAGCAGCCCTTCCCTAGGGATTTCCTGAGCCAGGACAGGGGGTCTCCTCGTGGCTGTGACTCACAGCAGAGCAGCTGGGGGCAGCCATGTCCCCCAGCAGCAGGACTTCAACCCCTGTGCAGTTCCTCCTCAGTGACTCAGTCACCCTTTGCCCACCTCCTTCCCCAAACTAGGGGACAAAGGAGCCAGGGACCACATCCCCAGCATGGCCAGGGAGTCCCAGAGAGGGCCATGCCTGTTCCCACGACTTTGCTGCCGGTCTGGTTTGGCCATTGCACACCCAGGGATTCAGGCAGAGGAGCTGCCGAGCTGGAAGGGCCCGGTCATTATCTGGTGCGCTTTGAACTGCAAACCCCAAAGAAAATAACTCCTGCTGTGACAGGGACATCACCTGGGGGGACCCAGCCTGGCTGGGCAGCGTCTGCTGGCCAGGCACAGCCCAGGAATGTCAGCTGCACTGGCCAGCTTCTGCCTGGTGTCCAAAAGGGAGTGTTGGGGTTCCCTTTACCCCCTGAGCCCTCTCCATGCTCTTGGCTGGGGACTCTGGCTGTCCATGTGGTTTCTGACCAGCTGGAGGGTGTCAGGGGGGTTTGTGGGCATCACTTTGTCCCTGCTAGCACCTCTGCAGAGAGGCTGGGGCTGGCAGGTGAGGCAGATCTGTCCCCTCTGGCCTGACCTGGTCCCCTGTGCCCTTCAAGGATGCCGACAGGTTCACATTGCCATCCTACTTTGAGGAAGGGAAGGAGAAGTGCCCGTATGACCCTGCCCGTGGCTACACTGGCCTCATCGTGGGTAAGTGGCTCTCTCCCTGGGCTGGCAGAAACCTGTGGAATGCCACCAACCCTGGCCCCATCCCCAGTGCCCCTAGGGAGAGTCTCCAGCTGGGTGGGTACTTGAGTGCAGGGGCCTTAGCAAGCCAGGACTGGGTCCTCCTCCTCTTCCTTTTTCTTTGCCTGGGGCAGGGGGATGCGGGTGGCTTATGGGGCTGTACCCAGGGTGCAGGGCCATGCTAACGGGTACCTGCTCTGCCTGCACTGCCCAGACGGCGGGTTGTACACGGCCACACGCTACGAGTTTCGGAGCCTCCCTGACATCCGGAGGAACCTGCACCAGCGGCCGCTGAAGACAGAGGAGTCCCCACTGCACTGGCTGAATGGTGAGACATCCCAGTGTGTCGCCCGGGACTGGTGTCAGAAGCCATGGGATGCCATGGATCGCCTCAGGGAGCATGGAGCAGAGGTGGGGGTGGCACTGGGGTCCTCTGTGGTTTGTTATGAGGGGAAACTGAGTCATGGAGGGATTCCCCATCCCATGGTGGGTCCCCAATCTCCACCTCGCACTCCACATTTCCCAGATGCTGAGTTCGTGGCCTCTGTGCTGGTCCAGGAGAGCAAGGACAGCCCCGTGGGTGACGATGACAAAATCTACTACTTCTTCATGGAGCGGGCTGGTGAGGAGACCACGTCCTTCTTTGACAAGAGCCAGATGGCCCGAGTGGCCCGAGTGGCCCGTGTCTGCAAGGTAAGCATGTCCCCAGCTGTGGAGAGCCAAGTGCTGCTCCCCCTGGTGCAGGGGCTGAGTGCCTTGCACCTTTGGGGAAACTGAGGCGCAGGCAGAGGGGACACATACCCCCACTAGCCTGTGCAAAAATTCTCCCTGCACCCTCCCAGAGTGATGTGGGGGGGAAGAAGATCCTGCAGCGCAAGTGGACGTCCTTCATGAAGGCACGCCTGGTCTGCTACATCCCCTACTACGAGGTGCTGCGCAGCATCTGCAGCCTGGACGGGGGTGGCTGGGCCAGCACGGTCTTCTATGCTGCCTTCACCCTCTCTGCACAGTGGTGAGTGGGGCAGTGGCCGAAATCGCTGGGGCTAAAAGTCGGTGGTGTGGAGGGGACTGGAGATGCTGGAGGGGACGTGCAGGCAGGTGCTGAGCTGCTGAGGGTGCACCGGTGGGGACCACCCGAGCTCAGGCAGGGCTCTGCCCCACAGGAGGACCATGGAGGCCTCGGCTGTGTGCCGCTACAGCATCTCAGCAGTGCAGCACGCCTTCGAGGGCCCCTACATGGAGTACCAGGACTCGGCCCGCAAGTGGTCCCGCTACGACGGTGCGGTGCCCGAGCCCCGGCCTGGCTCCGTGAGTGCCTGGGGGTGCAGAGGAGGGGGGGACGTGGGGTGGCCGTGTCTCCCTCTGACCCCCATTTCCCCCTGGGCAGTGCATCACGGACCACTCTCGCAGGAAGGGCTACAACTCCTCGCAGGACCTGCCCAACAGCGTCCTGGACTTTGTCAAGCTGCACCCGCTGATGTTCGAGGAGGTGAAGCCGGCGGGCGGGGAGCCGCTGCTGGTGAAGAAGAGCGTGGCGTACAGCCAGCTGGCCGTGGACAGGGTGCAGGCCCTCGACGGCCACTCCTACGATGTCCTCTTCATGGGGACAGGTGAGCGGGGGATGAGTGTGCTGGGTTTCTGCGGGGCAGGAGGGACAACTCACACTCTCCTGACTCCCCTGCTCTCTTCTCCAGGGGATGGCTGGATCCACAAGGCCGTGGTGGTGGGCTCCGGCATCCATATCGTGGAGGAGGTGCAGGTCTTCAGGGAGCCGCAGCCTGTGGAGAGCCTCGTGATCTCGCAGGCCCAGGTGAGGGGTGGAAGAAGTGGGGGGACACCTCCTTGCCAGGTGCCAGCTGTGGCTGTTGGCACTGATGGGAGCTGAGGGCCCTCCCTTGTGAACCCCCACTGCGGCGGGAAAGCTGTGCTGCAGAGCTGGGAGGGGAGAATATCTGGGCACTCTGGGGTACCCCAGAGCCCAACTGCCCCATGCCAGGACAGTGCTGAGCCAACTCTTTCTCCCCAGAGGAGCCTGTACGTGGGGGCAGCCAGTGGGGTCTTGCAGATGCCCCTGGCCTCCTGTGCCAGGTATATCTCCTGCTATGACTGCGTCCTTGCCCGGGACCCCTACTGCGCCTGGGATGGCAGGAGCTGCTGTACTCTGGGGTACCCCAGAGCCCAACTGCCCCATGCCAGGACAGTGCTGAGCCAACTCTTTCTCCCCAGAGGAGCCTGTACGTGGGGGCAGCCAGTGGGGTCTTGCAGATGCCCCTGGCCTCCTGTGCCAGGTATATCTCCTGCTATGACTGCGTCCTTGCCCGGGACCCCTACTGCGCCTGGGATGGCAGGAGCTGCTGTGCCATCACCGCTGCTGATGACAGGTAGGGACACAGCAGGGTGCCCACATGCCCTTCACTTGCCCCAGCCCATGGCACAGTCACCCCAGTGCCACCACCAAGGGGCTGGTCTGCTGGTGGCCATGACCCCCCAAGGGTGGTCTCAGCCAGGGCAGTACATCTGAAGCCCCCTGTATCTTGCAGCAGAGGGTTGGTGCAGGACATTCAGAGTGGCAACAAGGGATGCCGGAGCAGCACTGGGCGGGGTGAGTCCGTGCTGCCCCCCGGGATGGCAGAGGATGCCAGCGTCCCTCCGGGTGGCTGGGAGGGGTGTGAGGCAGTGCGTGTCCCCTCAGGCTCCCTGCCCTGGAAGAACCGGACGGTGCTGCAGGGGGATGATGTGCTGCTGCCCTGCGACCAGCGCTCCAACCTGGCCCGAGCCATCTGGCTACTGAACGGCAGCGAGGTGCCGGGCACCGGGCAGGACCGGCTACGCGTCGGGGTGGACGGGCTGCTGGTGATGGACACATTGCCCCAGCACAGCGGCCAGTACCGCTGCTATGGGGAGGAGCGGGGGCTGCGGGAGGGCAGGGGAGAGGCG